AGAACAGAGAATTCGGTTTTTTACTTTTCAAAAGTGTGAAAGGCGGACCCACAGTAGGCGATCGTGGCAAAAGCAATACAATATCGCATACTAATGTACATCCTCGTTCTCTTAATGGGCGTTGTCTGACTGAGTCGAGCCGCCTTCAATCAGGGATCCCTAGGCAAGATCTCCTCTGTCGAAGCGTCCCCCTCTGCGCAAGGCGGGGTCCAGGGGGAGTCCGGCCGGTGGTTGGCTGCCGATCACCATCACCTGAGCCGTCACCGTCAGACTGTTCAGGTTCTGCCAGGAGGAGAGCAGCACTGTCAAGTCATTTTCTGTATCTCTTCTCTTTTCTAAGTGTTGGGCCAGTTGCCTTCACCTTTTGCTTAATATCACATATCCACCAGCTGTTGATGAGCTAATTTAGGGATTCAGATTATGGATTGAGCGCCAGGTTGAGGAGTAACATACATGTAACAGGATTACGTTATCATGATACAAACTTTATTTAATTTACAGTTACCTTAAAAAGGCGTTATTCTTTACTGTTACATTTCTCAAAAGTGGGTATTACTAGCAGGATTACAATGTTAGTAAAAACTAAAGATAGCATATAGTGTTTGTTGTAAAGGATCAGATGTTATCTCTTCTCTGTAAACTGTACTGTTCTGTAGGCTAATACTTTAAGTGTGAATCTATACGCCTGCTGCCTGAATCTGCCTTATGGTCTTCACTTTCTTTGGTTCATTTGTTCTGTTTTTAATTCAGCAGGTGAACCTGTATGTTCATAAAATAGTGTGTGTGAGCTAGGGCTGTCCCGAATACCATTTCTCGGGCTCCGGATATTCGGCAGTAATCAGCAGCAAATATTCGTTCCACGCGGGGTTTATTCACGGCATTCTTTTTGTTATTCTAATCTACAGTATTGTTGTTTTATAGTTATTTGTTAATGTATACAACCCAATTTGTGTTCTTTGAAATTGAAAAGGATATCGCATTGTGTTTGTTACTTTCGTTGCAGTTGTATATGTCTTAAGTGTAATTTGGCTTGGCTTTCTATTTTGTATAGACATGCTTTTATTTTGAAGGAGAGTTAGCACAGTTGACAGGAAGTTGTTGTTGCTATGGAAACAACGTGACGGAGATTAATGGAGAAAAAGTAATATCTACATATAAAGACGGAGAAAGTAAACGATAACGTTTATGGTTAAGTGTTAGCACCCCCCGAAGAGGCACAAGCTCTTACGTTGATATTGGAGATTTCAATAAATTAAAAAAATTAAAAACGAATATCCGAATAACGAAATTGAAACCCGAATAGTACTCCAACGAACGAATATTCGGATATTCGGGTACAGCCCTAGTGTGAGCTTAACTGTGTGTATTAAACTAAAACGGAGCATTTTCTGTCAGCTCCGATTTTATTTCTGCTTTTTTTTTAACTGTAGTATGTGCTCATGTGTTTCATTGTTGGCGTATAGGCTGCTGCCTGGATATGCTGAATGAAAGGCAGGTTGTCTTATGCATAAAGTCTCTGAGAAGAGGACACATTGTGACGCTGCTCTGGAGTCAGTGTGTCCTACCGTCCATGCAGGTCAGCAGCTGGGCTACGATCCTCCTCTCCATGTCTTTAGAAGCCACCTCTCTCTTTGGTGTGATGGCATCGATCTCATCTATGAACATGACACACGGAGCAGAGCTCTGCGAGGGGGAAGACGCACGCAACATTATTTATCATTTATCCAAATGACCTGTTTATTCAATCCTACAGCGAGACGTGTGCGGATTTCACCTCCTCCAATCTCTTGACTTTTGTTGATCACTATAGAAGAGGAAAACTAGTACTAACCACAGCCTGTTCAAACAGCTCTCTGAGCTTCTGTTCAGACTCCCCCGACACTCCAGACACCAGCTCTGGAGCCGACACCTTCAACAAGGGCAGCTTCAGCTCCTGACACACAAAATATATAAAAAAATTATTATTAAAAAAGCACTAAAAAACAACCATTCTATGTTCAAAGTTCTTCTTTTTGGATATTCGATTGATCGACACTGCGTTCTGGTTGATTTCAGTTCTGCTTAACCGCTTAATGTCTGCCACGATATTGATTGGAGCATTGATGTCATGCTATGGTTAAAGAAACTAGTTATTGAACACTGGTATTTTCTGTTTAAAAGCCTAAACTCTGAACATAACCTGGTCTGGACGGAGTAGGTTATGTCTGGACCTTTCTAACCCTCTTTATCTGCTGGTAATAAAAACAGCAGACAGGCGAGTGTGTACACATGTTCTCCCCAGGCGTTGTCCAGCACTCACCCCCGCCACAGCCTGGGCCAGCAGGGTCTTTCCACAGCCGGGGGGTCCGTGCAGGAGGAAGCCCCTGGGAGGAACCATCCCCAAGCTCTGGTACACCTCCGGGTGACGCATGTGGATCAGCAGCTTACACACCTCCTGCAGCAGGGTCAAAGTAGTACAGGTTCAAACTAGTCACAACGGATAATATGAAATAACTCTATAATAATAATAATAATAACAGCTTTTTCTGTGTCAAATAAATGAAGAAATGTTTAAAATATATATTTACCGTTAACGTCTCTTCATTGCCTCCTACATCTTCAAACTTCAGAGTGGGATACTGCAGCTCGAGTGAGTTTGATTTTGCTGAAAAATCATTTAAAAAGAGAAAATACTGTGAATGCAACATAGTAGAACCTCACAGCCAATACTGTTCATAAATATCTGTCAACTAGCAATTCAACAACCATAGTCAATACACAATAAATAATGAAAGAAATATCATCCGTTCATTAATTGTGAGAAGGATTGTATGTTGCAGCCATAGAGGGAATATAAATTATATTTTTGAGTGGTGTTCAATAGTAATTCAAGCATATATTTATGAAGGTCTGCAACAATTCGTCGTTATAAATCGATTGATAGAATAAAAAAATCTGCAAATATTGAGTTAATCCTTACGTAATTTGTCATGCAAAATGGCAGAAAGAGGAAATGTTATCCCAGTTTCTCAAAACGATGAATCAATAAAATATTTCTCAGATTAATTAATAATCAAAATAGTTGCAGCTCTACTTTATAGTTATACTGGAAAGCTAGACGAGGCTGACCTTTCTTATTTGGGGTGCGGGTCACACTAGTTTCAGAGACCTTTGTCCTTTTCTTTGACTTTTTGGTCGACTTCTCCGGCTCAAGCATGGACACATCCGTCTGCTGGGGACAGAAATATTAGCTCATTACTCACTTGGTTTGTTGCTGTAATATGAAAGATACACATGTTTTTGTGGGCAATAGAATCAAAAAAAAGAAAAGGAAATGACAATTAATCCTAATCATATATACAGACACTGTTCAAACAAGTATTGTAAGTTACACAAAACAGGAGAAAACTACAAAAACCAACAGTTATTACCTCCTTATGTACAATGTCTGTCTCTAAATACACACACACACCCCCCAGAGGAACTTACATCATCACACAGGTCGATTAAGATTTTGCGCTCCTCGGGGCCTCTGCCTTTGTCAATAAACCAGCCTCCTGTGGACACCTGTGTTCCTGCAGTGGGGGGGGCGCTGGCTGCGCCGCCAGGAGTGCTGGCAGCAGGAGGATCTCTCCTGGGGGAGCCGGAGCCCGACTCAGGGACTCCTTTACGGTACAGAGACGTTAGGGAGCTGTTCATGTGGTTGATCGGCTGCGGAGGGCAACAAACAGAAACATGGAAGAATCAGATCTCACTGTCAGAGAGGACTCTTTAAAGCAGGGATCACCAACTACATTTGTCCAAGGGCCAAAATGTATCCAATAGACACTATCGCGGGCCAGCGATTTTTATATAGCCCAGAATTTTGAAGTTGGGGGGGGGGGGATGCTAGTGGAGCACGCTCAGGTACAGCGGACCGCATAAAGCTTAGCAGACTCTTCACGCTAACGAAGGATCACTTCTAGGCAGGGTTGGGAGGGTTACTTTGTAAATGTAATCAGTTACTGAATACTGAATACATAATCTGAAAGTAATCAGAATACAGTTACGTGTCTTAAAAATGTAACGTATTCAGATTACGTTTAGAATACTTTTGGAATACTTTCTTTTTCCATAACAGATGGGTATGTCTTGGTGAACAGGAGACACTTATTTTACTGTTTTAATGGCCTATCAAGAACTCAAACACAACATCTTGGTGTCATTCTGGAAAGCTCTCTCATCTGCACCCCACATAAAAAACATCACCCGGACTGCATTCTTTGTACTGTCTTAAAACCTTTCCTTGGAATATGTTATGAATTGTAAGGTGTCCTTGGATGCTTTGAAAGCCGCCCCTAAATATAATGAATTATCATTATTATTTATTATTATTTATTATCTGAAACGATGTAATAACTTTTAAAACGTTTTCCAGTCACTTGTCCCTTGCATTCAGCAGCAGCAGGCCATTCACTTTGATTTGATCCCGTTATGAAATGTCATCATTTCGGCAATAAAGAAATGCTACATAAACGTTATCTTGCACATTTTATCTAACCATCTCCGTTTCTAACTTTCAATATATTTTAAAAGAGATCTCTCTCTCTCATTTGGGTGCGGGGGCGGGGCCTCACAGACACCATCTCTCTCGCTCAAAGACATGTTGCCGCGCTGTGCAGTGTGCACACAGTTCTGCCGGTAATGAATATTACATTTTGTGAGGAAACTTTTCCACCAATAATTCCAATAAGTATTCCAAAATGTATTCACTTCAGGTTTACGAAAGTAACTGTAATCAGATTACTCGTTTTTCAAATGT